ATTATCAGACATAAAGAATTTTATATAAAAACTTATCATTTAATAAATTTTATTCACTTAACTTCTTAGAGCAAACATTGAATTTCTGTAAAGAGTTTGTAGTTACTAATAAATCCTAAAGTTTAATAATATTTTTATTTTTATTATAAGAAATTGAGGATAAATCATCTACTCCAAGATATACACAATTTTTTGTCTCTTTAATCTTTATTTTGGCTGGTTATTTTCGCTATCTTCTTTTTTTGTCTCCAGAGCAGAAGTTTAGCCTTCTGCAAAATTTAATCTTGTATTGCTATAAAAATTTATAAGTTAAATTATTAATAATTAGGTTATATTAAAAGTTAATGTATAAGCTTAAAGTTGTTAACTGCATTACGCAAACTAATTATGAAAAATATCCAAAGATATTAAATTAAAAATTATAAAACCAAGAATAATGTCCCTCTGCCTCAAAAAGATGGAATATATAAAGGGTTGTTTCAATTTAAATCATGATTTAAACCAGACAAATAAAAATAATGATTTAAATTGAGCCTTTTTATTTCAATTGATTTTAACGATTATTTATTAATTTATTCCCATAATTCAATAAATTATTTTAGACTAGTCATTGGTCTTAAAACAAAATGTCTGGCAGTATTAGAAAGCTCTACATAAGTAGAATATAAATTCTAATAACATCACTTTTTGTACACTGTTTTAATATTTTAGTAGATGGGGTTTCACAATCAAACCAAAAAGACTAACTTGAAATGTAAAATATCAGCTTTTAACAACTTCAATGCCACATATATATTACTGATACCTTTAATAATATATCTTATAATAGCTATATAATATAAACTATTATAAATAAATTATAAAAAAAATTTTTTATTGAATACTTATATGACATTTCAAATGTTTGATATATTTAATAAAGAAGAATTTAAAATATCTTCTTTATTAAATAAATCGAACATTTGAAATGTTACATTTATTTAATCAAGATTATTAAATAAATCAAACATTTGAAATGCTAATACAGCAATAAGTATAAAAAACAACTTTAAGATCTTACACAAAAATAATTTAATTATTTCCTTTATTATTACATTAATAATTTACATTGCAGTAAAAAATGTTTCAAGTTTATTATTTAACTGGTATTAAATATTTCATTATTGAAAAAAACAAACATTAAGTCAGGAGAATCTCTTGAAATTTATTTCATACAACGAACCTTATAAGATTTTTAGAAGATCCATAAATATAGCTTATTTTTTTTTATATATATAATTTTAAAAAATGGAAAGATATTTTCAAAACCTCTTTTTTTTCTGTCAAACTATACCATTTCTAAAAACGTTTTAAAAATATTTACTAATCCGCAAATATATTGGCCAAATATTGGCTTCAGCTTAAATGTAAAAACAGATTTTTATAGCAAATTATTAAGCCTAAACTACATTGGCCAAATGTTGGCCCGACGTAGTACAATAATTGCAAAAAACCGATTTGTAGAATTACATTATTACGCCAAAGAAAAAACATTGGCTAAATGTTGGCTTAATATAGTACGATATTTGCAAAAAACCGATTTGCAGAACTGAAAATAATACGTCGAAAAATAACATTGGCTAAATGTTGGTCCAATGGAATAAACTGGCCAATGTTAAAACTTACGTTAGGCCAATGTAAGCTTGCTGTCTGGGTATATATATATATATATATATATATATATATATATATATATATATATATATATATATATATATATATATATATATATATATATATATATATATATATATATATATATATATATATATATATATATATATATATATATAGTATATATATATATATATATATATATATATGTGTATATATACATATATATATATATATATATATATATATATATATATATATATATATATATATATATATATATATATATATATATATATATATATATATATATATATATACATATAAATATATATATGTGTGTGTGTGTGTGTTTGTGTGTGTTCATATATATGGGTATATGTTCGCTTATATTTGTAAATGTGTGAATGTGTATACAAACTTATACATATTCATTTTTACTTTTATTTTCTCTATATAGGATATTATGTATTAAACGATATTTTATTTTATTTTTTGAATTCTTTTAAAAAGTTTAAGGTAATAGATCTTTAAAAAGTATTGATTTTTTAAATATTTTAAATTATCAACAGCCAAAACAACATATAAAATATATCATTATAAGAAAATATTTATAGTTTTGATTATAACTACATTATTTTTAATTTTGATTCTTTTTTTAACAAAAATTAAAAAATAAAAAAAATTTAACAAAAAAAAAAAAAGAATGATTTTCATAGTGTTATTAGAGTTTAAAAAAAAACTAATTAAATTCAAAAAGCTTAAATTTTAATCTTTTGAATTTTTAATTCTGTAAAAATTGATAATACTTTGTTCTTTGGTAATATAAATTATTAAAAATATTTTCTTAAAAACAAGTACGTCAAACATTTATACAAAGTAATTTATTATTAATTCTTATCTTATTAATACATTGTTTTAATGCATTTTACTGAAAACGAAATAATTGCTGTGGGTAGCAATGTAAAAGTTAAGAATGTCAGAGAAATTAAAAAACTTTGAAAAATATATTTGAAAAAACGTTTTTTTGCGTTCAATAGCGATGATCAAGTATGTGTCTAAGAAAGTATACATATATAAAGTTAGCAATCTACATATCTGGGCGTTAATATTTTTAAACAATGTTTAAGAGTAACTAAAGGTATAAGAACTTTAAAAAATAAATGTTTTTTAAAATAATATAAATTAGTAACAGTCAAAATATATTTAATATATATAATAACGAGGAAATATTAAAAAATTTGATTTATAACTACATTTAATTTAATATTTACTTTTTTTAAAAACTACAATAAAAAAAAAAATGAATAGTAATAATAATAATAATTTTTATAAGGTCATTAGAGTTTTTAGAAAACTAATTAAATTTAAAAAGCCTAAAATTCAACCTTGTGCATTTTTAAACGTGTGAATATTGATAATACTTGGTTTTTTGTGAATCTAAATGATTTGAAAATTTGTTTTTGAAACTAATACGTCAAACATTTAACAAAAATAATTTATTAGGGAAAAAAGCGCCTTTGAGAGCAACAAGTTGATAAAATATTTTTTTACTATTCTTAACTAGAATTAACTATTTATTAATATAAAATATATATATATATATACTTTTAACTAGAATTAACTATTTATTATTATAAAATATATTTTTACTATTCTTAACTAGAATTAACTATATATTAATTAGAACTAACTACTTAACTATTTATAGCATAATATTTTAGCGTTCACTAAATAAATTTTGTGACCCTCTCAAATTTAGGGGGATACTAACTTTGTGAGGTCATAGTTTTTGAGCGTTGGTTGTTTCTTTTTTGAAACTTAAAATTTATTGATGAACTTAAGTCTAGTTAAGAATAAAAAAAAAAAATTTTATCATCTTGTTGCTGTCACGTTTAGGGCGGGGGGGGGGGGGCACGAATGTTTTTTTTTTTTTTTTTTTGTTCTCAGGCTCAAATAATTGCAATTTTTTGCAAACGATCCTTATTTGACGTAGTATAAACATTCAAATATTTGAAGTTTTCTCCATGTCTGGAAATTAGCTCAAACAACAAAAAATTCTCGCTACTCTACTAGAAAGATGTAATCATTTTCATTTAAACAAGGCATGTCTGCCTTGCTCAAATGATAAAATTAAAATAAACATTCCACCAAATGCCTAAAACCTGAAAAAAAAATGCATTCAAGTTTAATTTCATCACAGTTAATAATAAAAACGCAATCTTAAATCTTTAAAGGAGTTTAAAATATTAAAGCACTTTCCAAAGTTAATTTTTGTTGATTATAAAAGCAATATTTGTGCATAAGAGATGTATTTTTACTAAAACTAATGTAAAGACAGTATATTTATGTTGGTTTAATCACTTTTTCGCCATAACCAATATTTATGAAAATATGAACGGTATGCCATCATAGGCGCTATGCCATGTTAGGCGCCTTTTCCCATAATTCTAAGCTTATTAAATACTTTGTTTTTGTGCATTTCATTGTTAACGAAATATTTGCTGTTGTTAACACTGTAAAAGATAAGAATGTCAGAGAAATTTGAAACCTTTGAAAAATAGATCTGAAAAATAGTTATTTTGCGTTTCATTAGCGGTGATAAAATTTGTCTAAACACGAATACATATATAAGAAAGTTAGCAAGCTAAACACCTGGGTGAAGATATTTTTAAACAATGTTTTAAAGCCTATTAGAACTAAAGTTATTAGAACTTTAAAAAAAAAATTGTTTTCTTAAATAATATATATTGTCAACAGCCAAAACCATTTAAAATATAAAATAATGACAAAATATTTAAAGTTTTGATTGATAACTACACTTAATTTAACTTTTGTATTTCTTTTATAACAAAAAAAACATAAAAAAAAAAAAAATAATAAAAATGTTTTTTATAACGTCATTAGAGTCTTAAAAAAACTAATTAATTTTAAAAAGCCTATACTTAACCTTGTGATTTTTTAATCATGTGCATATTGATACTAGTTTGTTCTTTGTAAATATAAAATAATAGAAAAATTTTATTAAAAACAAATACGTCAAACATTTATAAAATCATAAAAATAAATTCATTTATTATTTATTCTTAGCTTATTATTACTTTGTTTTACTGAATTTCAATATTAACAAAATAATTGCTGTTGTTAGCGTTATAATAGTTAGGATTAGTTTTTTAATTTAAAAACTTTGAAAAGTAAATCTGGGTTTGAAATGACATTGAAGTACAATGCTCAAACAATTATGTTATATATATTTTTGACTAATATTTATAATCTTATCAATAAATCTGTTTTTGATTTTAATCTGCTAAGTTACATAAAAACCTATAAATTCTAAATCTTTTTTGTAATAGTCAAAATCAACGTGCTTCTACACTAAAACGCAACAACGTGTTGTCACACTGAAACAAGATGTTTAAGTCTTTAATTGTGATATCACTTGTCTTATCTTTCATTTATGGAAAACCATTAATCGAAGGTAAGTAATTCTTTAAATTAATATATAAACGTACATAAAATTATTTGAATAACCAAAAGCGTCTCTAGCTATCATAGGTAAGTACATAAAACATTCAGACTGAAGTTTTGGACGCAATTTAAACTTGTACTAAATTAGATAAGACTTGTACTAAATTAGATAAGACTTTCTTAGGAGAAGACGGGCAAGATAGCAATTGTCAAGAAAGTCCTAAGTTATTTCAAAACTATTAGTTATGAATCAATAACACATTGTCAGAAAAATTTGAAACAAAAACTAAAATAAAAATATTAATAAATTTGTCATTTGTTAACGTGACCGAGCCATTATGACTTATTATGCGATTTCTGTTTCAAATTCTATGAAATTTTAAAAACTATCAAATACTCTAACTAAAGTAACACAAAATAAACACACGTTACAAAAAAGTATTCCTGAAGAAGTCACACTGAAGGATTATCCATTAAAAATAACTGAAACCGAAGTATTTTTTAAATCGCAAAAAGTAAATTTATGCGTATCCAATTGCGTTTTAAAATACAAGATGTAAACACAGTTTCGTTTCCTCTTTTTTTTTTTTGCCCCGTTTTTCCCTATGCGTAAAAATTTATTAATAAGGTCAATTGCTAGAATATCTATAATGGGTGTCGGAGTTGTAAAATTATTTCAAGCCTAATAGTTGTCTAACTTTATATTATTATAGTCATGTTTATAAACTTTATATATAACTTAAAAAGCAACCTCTTATTTAATCTATATTAAGAAACAAACTCCAACTAAATAAGAAAAGACTAGTTGGTGAACATGTACACGACTTACCCCAAAATTAGTAAAATTTGTTTTAAAAAACGAGTCTTAAAAGGTTTAGGTGCACTGTTTGCAGGTCTTCTGACCAAGTTTTTGTTTTTTATTAAGATTATCTTTGGAATAATTTAGTTTTACCTTATTTTTATTTTTTTACTAAATTGTCGTATGCTTTATTCAAACAAGCTTGAGAAAATATATCATTTTAATAAAAAAAATCTAATTTTAATCGCTTTTTGGATGTTGTTTGGTTTAATTTTACTTTGTTTAAAATTTTGTACATAAAAGTCATTATTTCAGAACTATCATTATATTTTTTATAAAAATTTAGTTTTCATGCAAATGCTGAATAAATAGTGCAATAAAACACAGTCCCGTTTTGTTTACTTTAAAAATTGTAAAGAAAACTCAGTGATTTTCAAAAAGAATGTTTTTTTAAAGGCAACTCAATAATCTCTAAAATAATTTTTTAATAATAAACACTTTAAAAACTTTTTTCGTTTTCGAGTTAGATAATCAAATTCCGTTCTAATAATTAATAATAAATATTGGTCCTGTTTATCCTTTCTTAATAATGTAATGGAAAATTAAAACAAGTCTGATAATTACATTTTTAAAAATGCATTTAAATCCAAATGTCAATTAATTAAAGCTTAATAACTCTTTAATAAACGAGAATCTTAAAACTTGTACTCGTTTTGAACATTATAAATTCCGAATAAATTAAAAAAAAATCAATTTCAAGACATTTTTTCACGAGATACTCAAATTGTAACAAAAATTAAGTAAATTTTTAGCACATCTGAAATAATAAAATGGACAGAAATTCAGTTTAACAAGAAGTCAAATAACAAAATGTCTATTAAAAAGGTCAACGATAAATAACATGATTAAATAGTGTTTCACTATGCTGTGTCCAAACAATACTAAAATTATTAGAAATACCAAGACTATGTGGTATTTTATTATGTCTTGTCTAATCAATGCGTTGCATTTTATATAAGTTTTGTTTAAGGTTTTTTTTAGTGATGAAATAAACCAAGAGTACAAGATGGTGGCGGCTTGATTGGTATATGAGGATTCATTTCTCACATTTTATTATTCTAACCTGGCCAGCGCAATCATGAATGGACAAGAAATTATCAATAGAAATGGAATGTTGAAAGCATTTTAAAATGCGCAATTGAAAATTGCACAAGAATAAAATTTAAACTAAATTCTAAAGGAGCTATATGTGCATTTGATTGAATCCGTGCCTATATGTATTCAAGCCTTCCTAAAAGCACGCGGTGGTCACACAAAATACTGAATTAAAGCGTGACCTTATATTGCCGACTTTTTATTATAGAATTTTTGATTTGATTCTCTGTATAATTGATTCTCTATTTAATACTCTAATTAATTTGATTCTCGATATAATTGATTCTCTATTTAATTGATTTTAGTACCAAAATGAAATATTTTAGACTCTTTTCTTGTTTGTTTTTTATTGTTATACAAATTAAAAAAATATCTCTTTTTTATAAAAAAAAAAAAAAAAAAAAAAATTAGAACATAATTTATATAACTGCCTAAAAATCTATGCACACATGTTTTTGAAAGCAATTGTATTTACTGGAGCTTTGTTAAACTCAAAACACAGCGTTATAAAACAGGTTTTAAACTTCTGAAGAAACAGTAGCAGAGGTTGCACGATTAAATGTTTTATTGATATTTAAAGACATTTTTTGAGACAGAAAACCTTACGAATAAAAAAAATTTTCTAAAGTATTCATGCTACAATTTCACGATTTAGAACAACTAAATAAAAGTTAGTAATATTTTTTATTAAAGCACTAATTAAACAAGTTTTTATTTCTTTTATGTCTATATTGAAATGCTTCATACTAAAAAAACGAAATGATCGTGTAAAAAGTTGCAGAAAAATTTATGTAAAATTATTTTTTACCTTTAGTCTAAAGTCTTTAAAAATGAGGCTTTTTGAAAACAAAGAGGATAATTATTCTTATAATTCTCATGAATAGTGAACAATATGGCTAAATAATAATTTATACTTAATAAGTCTAAAATCTGGATATTCTAATACAGATATTCTGAATTTTTGCTACAAGTGCTTGATTATCAAAACCAAGAAACAAAGACTAGTTTTTACCGATGCAATTATAAACAGCATTTTCTTTTAATAACTCTGTTATCCTTTGTTGCATGTAAAAAGATTCGTGATATAAAAAATTCTGGCCAATTTATATAAAATATTTGTTTGCTTAACTTTTAAAGAAATGATGTTTTCTCCAACGGGCTAACTTTTGTTTTGAAATGCTATATAAACTTGAGAAGTGACATTTTAAACTAATAAATGGCCATAATTTATGTTTAATAAATTTTAATAGTTTTATAAACTTAATAAAACATAAGTTAAGCAGAGTGTATGTCAAAAATGGAATCCGAGCCTTATTTCCCATATTTGAAACTTTTTCTCCTCTTATATATTATTTAAAATGCAAGTTATTAAAATATTATATAGTCTAGTGTAATAAATTGGGGATGTCGATTGATACATTTTAATGTTTACTTGTAACTAACTAGTTTTACTTCTTGATGATAGTTAAACAATAAAACTTGGTAAAAACTTTAGTCAGGCTCTATGTTAGGGAGATCCAAAATTAGTTTTAACTAAAATAATTACTTGTTTTTTTTCAAACTAATAAAAGAAAAATATAAAAAATAAAGTTCTATATAACAATATAAAACAAAGTGTCTGTTCAAGTTTCTAATTAACTTATTTAACTGAAAGGTTAGTTAAACCTACATAAAAATGTAGTAAATATTGTTTTTGAATAACCATTAATTTATAAAACCGAAATACTATAATGTTTTCCGCTTTTTAATATTTTTTTTCAACTGTTTTAGATAACTAACTTTGCAAAATTTGTTTAGTTTATGCTGAAGTTTGGTTTTATTAGTTATATATAGTAATACTTTTCATTTTCAACAATATAAAGAGATTGAATAACTTTTATTTAATTTTTTTGGGTACGTCCAACAGACACGCCCCTGCTATTGTTACAAATAATATAATGCAGTGGATAAAGATTGTCCATAAATTATGTAACGCAAAATATAATTTAAAAGCAGAAGTGGGAGACATTTAGCACTTTTACGTGGCAATTTTCATTGAACTTGATGGGCTATTTTAATTTTTTATTTAAACTAAGGCTCTGTGAGGAAAAACTTTTAATCTTTTTTGTTTTGTTTATTACAAAAGTTTGCGATACGTAATTTATGGACGATTCCATAGCTTATTAGAAGTCGGTAGAGGAAAAATAAAAATTATCCTACCTAAATTCTATTTTTATTAGTTAAAAAATATCACGTGTTACAATAAAATAACTAAATAAATACATAAAATTTAACAATACCAAGGACGCATAGTATTGAGACATGCATTATGCACTGTGTAATGTATTGAGGCATGCACACGTTATGTATCGAGACATATATTATGCACTGCGCTAGGGGTTCGGATTCTACTCGTAGTGAATCTTTTTCACTTTTTATTTTTTTTTTTCTATATTTTACTTTTTTTATGTTTTATGAAATTATGATCATTTATTGGCTAAATTTGGAGATTTGCACAGTGAATAGCACAATGCGTTTCATTCATCAATTGACGCAATGGAGTGTTTATACACCGAATGATTTAGGGATAGTCACCCAGGAATGTACATGCATTTACGAATTTAAAGATAGGTGCAGTGAAGTTTACTTGCATTTACTAATTTAGGGAAGGCGCAGTGAAGTGTACATACATTTACTAATTTAGAAATAGGCAACGATGACTAAGTTCGAAGTGCAAAACAATAAGATAGCGGTAGTGTTTACAAATTACCCATTGCAGTATCAAATCTTAAAAATAGAAAGCTATTACAACCACTTTGATAAAGATGCAATAAAGAACAAACCGCAAATTTAATGCGATAAAGGTCTAATAGTAAAGTGTTTATAAGCGAGAAGCTTCAAGTTTGATTTCTACTACACCCTAGGTAATACCACGCTCAACTTGATTCTCTACGCATCAAATTTGTTTGTTTGTCAAACTTAATATTTTGGAATTGAAAGTTGAGAGAGTTGTAACAACAACAACGTAGCCTTTTTAACTGTCTAGGGCTTTTCGGCCCTTAGGAGATAAATTACAT